CTGCAATACTTATGAAGAGTAACTTGGATTAATAAGAAGAGTTCGTAGATTTTGAAATCTATATGCAGCAAATGTAAATCCAGATTATTCATTGTTAAACCCCAAAGCCGTACAACCTGCCCTCAAAATTATTAATACACACAAGCAGCCTGGGTTTTTAATACGATAGCAACATAATTAATTTAACCTTAAGTAAAAGGCTGCTCTTGGGATAAATTGTACGCAGGACAAAAAAATAGCCACTGCCCATTCACTAAAAGAGAATCGTCAATCTAAGAACTAAATAAATACGTCTTACAAACTCCTCAATTCAACTTAAGCAATCAATACAGAAACTCCTTATGAGAATAACCTTCTATTATATTAGGAAATCAGTCAAGAAAAACTTATTTGAAACCTACCCAACTGCAGCAGCAGAAACTTGTTCGACCTAAAAGAATTTCGAAGTATATTGCTAGCGATCTCTTTAAGTAGGTGAAAACCAGAAATAGCAGCAAGGAAACTTTGAATTTTTTGCACTATAAGGTAAAACGATTAACCCCAAAACTGAAAGGATTACAAAATCTAAATGGTGTCCTCACAGTAGAAAAAATAAAACATATAGAGGACTGAGAAGCTTACCCAGAACGATGGTGATCTGGAACTGGAGTAGAAGCTCTTGATTGAATTGAATTTTCGGAGGAGTAATTTGAGAGGAAGAGAAAAGAGGACTGCTGCTACGGGAAGAAATATCGACGTATGCGGAAAAATTTTAGGGCTTAATATATATATAAACCTATACACGTATACTCCTAAAGGGCTTTTAAATAATAATAAGAATACTTATTTGACCCAATTAACTGATCTGGGTATATGATTTTCTCCTAAAAAAAATTAATGTTAAAAGTATTTATTTCTTCGATTAAAATTATTAATATGAGCTTACCGGTCCACGTTATCTGCCAAAAACAAAACACGTTAAATAGTATATCACATTATTCACACAAATAACTTATTTAGCTGACTAAAATAAATAATGATGATTAATATAACTAGCTCGTAAAAATCGGAGTGTTACACTACACAAAAAATAAATAGGACGGCATTCGTGTCCGCAGGTCGCCCGCGCACGCAAGTCGCGCTTTTTGTTCTTCGGTTTCGGGATTTGATTCGCACACCCCTGCGCGCGTGAGAGAGCCTTTCCCTTTAGGAAGCTTAACTCCTTAGGGGGGGTTTCCCTTTATAAAGGGTTCAAATTCCCTTGTGATTTTCGGTGTGGGAAAACCCCACACTAAAAACCCACCTTTTCCTAGTTTTCTTCATTCCAACGGGTAAACTTCGAAAAGCGATTTCTCATTCACCCGTTATCCGTTTTGAGCGTACCATATATCGAATTGTAGCCTTAAGCAAGGACAATCCGAAACCACTTTGACCCAACCCAAATCGGAAGTGGACCCCACTCAAAAATTTCCCCAAAATGACCATTTAATGTAATTTTAACACACTTTTTCCAACAATCCCCCACATGAATGAAAATTGATTTTCGAGACTTAAAAAAGACACGAAGATAGGAGGACACGTTGTGTTCACCAGATGATCCCTGCATACGGAGAGGTAGGTTTAGTCCTTTGAACCTTCCGCTGTAAAGACACGTTTATTTACTGGCTGTCTAGTAGACTCGATGTCCTTGAACTATACTGTCGTCGTGTAAACATTGACTTATCTTTACACAGGAACCTTCCAACTTTGTTCCATTCTCATGGGTGTGCCCGTTTTGGCCATGGGTCACCGTCCTGGTTCTGCAAGAGTTTCTAAAGAACTGAGCCTTTACAAGTCTCCTTTGAAGCGGCCCTCTTCTCTCTCACATAGGTGATTCTTTCACGAGTATCCCGCATACTCTTACAATGTTATCGTGTAGATCAACATTTTAGAATCATTAAAGCAAACGTTTTTGCTAACCTCATACGGGAGTCACTGTTTTAACGAAAAGTGGGTAGGAGTCCGGGACCCCCACAGTGACCATCCTTCGCTCTATAATTTAGTTGTCCCTTTTGAACCTAGGACCAACTAGGTTGGGTATCCACTATAGAACTTTTCAATTCACGGGCTTTAATCCCATTCCTCGTGACAACTTCTCCAACAATTCTCTATCCAATGTCTTGGTTAGCGGATCCGCTATGTTATCCTTTGACTTCACGTAGTCAATAGTGATAACACCCGTTGTGAGAAGTTGTTTAATGGTGTTATGTCTACGACGGACGTGTCTAGACTTACCATTATAGAGATTGCTCTGTGCCCTTCCAATTGCCGCTTGACAATCACAATGTATGCATATAGGAGGGATAGGCTTCTCCCGGATTGGAATATCTTCGAGAAAATGGCGTAGCCATTAAGCCTCTTCAGTGCACTTATCCAAGGCTATTAGCTCAGATTCCATCGTGGATCTAGCTATTAACGTTTGTTTCGAGGATTTCCATGACACGACTGCACCTGCCAAAGTGAAAACATATCCACTTGTGGACTTTGAGTCCTTAATGTCAGATATCCAACTAGTGTCGCTATACCCTTCAAGTACAGCGGGGTCTCTTCCATAGTGCAGTCCAAGGTTTTGGGTTTTTCGTAAATACCTCAAAACTCTTACTATTGCCTTCCAGTGTTCATCACCGGGGTTGTTAGTATATCTACTAAGCTTGCTGACCACAAAGGCAATATTAGGCCTAGTACAGCTTATTAGATACATTAAACTGCCAATAATCCTAGCGTATTCTACTTGAGAAATACACTCTCCACGATTTTTGGTCAGGTGTACGTTTTTATCTAATGGCGTCCTTGCCTCTTGATAATCATCCTTATTAAATTTATTAAGGATTTTACCAACGTAATGAGATTGGCTTAGCGTAGGACCGCCAGGTCCTCTAATTATTTTAATCCCAAGGATTAAATCGGCCAACCCCATATCCTTCATGTCAAATTTAGAATTTAACATGTTTTTGGTAGAATTAATCATTAAATTATTGCTACCCACGATGAGTATATCATCCACATATAAACATAAAATGACATAGCCGTCTACCGTGCTTTTCACATAGACGCATTTGTCACTTTCGTTTATTTTAAACCCATTAATTAACATTGCATGATCGAACTTTTCGTGCCACTGTTTAGGGGCTTGTTTCAATCCATACAATGATTTAATTAATTTACAAACCTTCTTTTCTTGGCTTAGAACACGAAAACCCTCGGGTTGTTCCATATAGATTTCTTCGTCTATATCGCCATTTAGAAAAGCGGTTTTTACGTCCATTTGATGAACTTCCAAATTCCGCAAAGCGGCAATTGCTAGTATCATCCTAATGGAATTTATTCTCGTTACCGGAGAATACGTGTCAAAGTAATCATGGCCTTCACGTTACTTGTATCCTTTGATTACAAGTCTGGCCTTATACTTATCAATGGAACCGTCAAGTTTCATTTTACGTTTAAAAATCCACTTGGATGCCAAAGGTTTACTTCCCGGAGGGAGATCAACCAATTCCCATGTGTGATTCTTTAGGATAGAGTCCACCTCACTTTTGATGGCTTCTTTCCACATTGGTCCTTCGGTAGACGTTACGGCTTCCGTATAAGTCCGTGGCTCATTTTCTACCAAACATGTTAGAAAATCCGGTTCATTTTCTACCATACAAGTTAGAATATTCGAATCGAATTCTACCAAGTATGTGAGAAAATCCGGTCCGAAGGATTTTTCAACTCTAGCATGTTTGCTACGTCGGGGTTCGGCTTCTTCACCGGATCCCTCGCTAGTATTTCCATAGCTACGTCAAATGTTCGTTTTGACGTGCTAGGTCCTTCATTGGACTTACATGGAAATACGTCTTCAAAGAATGATGCATTCCTTGACTCAATTATTGTATTTTTATGTATATCCGTATTATTCGAATCGTACACTAAAAACTGATAAGTACTACTATTTTGTGCATATCTAATAAAAATACAATCCACCGTTTTTGGACCTATTTTTATTTTCTTAGGTGTTGGTACAAGCACTTTAGCAAGACACCCCCACACTTTCAAATATTGATAGGAAGGTCGTCTACCTTTCCACAACTCGTACGGAGTTTTATCATATTTTTTCCGGGGAACCTTATTTAAAAGGTGATTGCTTGTTAAGATCACTTCGCCCCACATATTTTGTGGCAGGCCCGAACTTACTAGCATCGCATTCATCATATCTTTCAATGTGCGATTCTTTCGTTCGGCAACACCGTTTGATTGAGGTGAATAGGGTGCGGTACGTTCGTGTACTATACCCACACTAGCGCAAAAGTCACCAATTGGGGCTTCATACTCACCACCTCAATCACTTCTAACCGTTTTAATCCGTCGATTAAGTTGGTTTTCCACTTCATTCTTATAAAGAATAAATTTATCGATTGCTTCGTGTTTATTTTTTAATAAATAAACATAGCTATAGCGAGTGCTATCATCGATAAAAGTAATAAAATATTTATTACCGCCACGTGTTTGTATTGATTTAAAATCACAAACGTCACTGTGAATTAATTCTAGTGGTTCCGTTTTTCTTTCAACCGATTTGAAAGACGTTTTCGTTAGTTTTGCCTCGACACAAACATCACATTTGTGCTTCACATCAATTTTGAATTTAGGAATGTGTTCCATGTTAATTAATCTACGTATAGAATTAAAATTAACATGTCCTAGTCTACCATGCCACACATTGGAAGACTCAAGCAAGTAAGCAAAAGAGATTTTATTATTATTATTATTATTATTAGTCATTACATTGAGCTTAAACAGCCCATCAACTGCATACCCCTTCCCCACATTAGGGGTGGGTTCGGTTGCTTCGGTTCGGTTTTGACCTAAAACCAAACACAGAACCGAAGTGAAATGTTCGGTTCGGTTCGGTTCGGTTTCTTTCATAAAAATATCCAACCACGGTTTGGATGGTTCGGTTGGTTTCGGTTTGGTTTCGGTTTTTATTCGGTTTTTTTTAAAACCAAAAGTCCAAGTATGAAAATAACAGGAAGACAATTGGCATGCAAATTTAGTAATTGATTCTAATGCGAAGTAATTGAAAAGACATTAAAGTAGCAGAACACTAAATAATCACCAATTCACCACCATTCTCAAAAATATCATTTTAACATGTAAAGCAGTAACCCATTCAAGCATGAGCTCCATTTTAAAAACAAATGAAAGTAGGTAGTTAAGCTAGTCTGTCATACCATATTAAAAAGTAGTACAAATTTCAGCATGAACATGTTGATAAAAACCAGTGAGCAACATAGTTCAGTGAAAATAAATAGCAAAAAAATAAGGTAATGAGCTCTCATTTCTCAATCCATCGTGCTAAACTGCCAAAATGTCAAACAGTGAGCTCTCCATCCATCCTGCAGCCCTGCTAAACTGCCAGTATCAATCAATAAGCTCCCTCTCAATCCAACCTGCTAAAAAGCCAAAGTGTTAAACAATGCTAAACATATTTTGCAACCAAAACAAGTATACACAGTACAACATAACAGAGACATTTCCAATCTTTAACTCCAATTCAGTCCATACTTTGAACTTCAAAACTATCCCAGCTCACTGCTTTAAGGTCTCCACTTGATTCTACTTCCTAGTCCTAGGAGGTAACCTGGTATTTTCCACACTTTGTCCATTTGCAAGTTCTACATACAAACATTTATGGAAGGGCATAAAACATTAGAAGAATGTAAATTACTAAATATGCTAAGAAAATAAATCAATGTAATAAATAAAACCAGAAAACAATACATTTACCTTTCTCAATTTCTTCACAAAACTCCATCTCTTCAATAGTTGGCTCATGATGTAATGCAACATGAGTACTCCTAAGCCAATTTTGTGTACAAATTAATGCTTCCACCATTTTAGGACTTAGTGAACTACGGAATGGATCGATTACCCGACCACTAGTGCTAAAACATGATTCGGAAGCAATTGTAGAAACCGGGATTGCAAGAATATCTCTAGCAATATATGCCAAAAGGGGGTATTTACAAACCCCATTCACTCTCCACCAATTCAAGATGTCAAAATCTGAATTTTCATCCCCTTCGATAGAATCTAAAAGATACCTATCCACATCATTATTTATACTTCCAGCTTTTTTAGCCCTTCTCTGTTGCTCTTTTTCTGCCAATTTTCTCTCAACTTGTGTCATACTTGATGAAGTTTTCATCACCTCCACCACAAAAGTAGTAACACTGCCCCCAACACTTGGTTGTGATGTTTGCAAAGACATAGAAGCATCATTCATATACACATTTTGAAGATCATATAAAAATGCTTTAACACTAGTAATAGCAGCTTCAATCTTTTTGTCACCATCCCCATGGATCAATTCCAAATAATCTTCAAGCTTTTCCAGTTTATGACGTGGATCAAGAACCATAGCAGCCAATATGTACTCATTCACCTTATCTAAACTCCCCCAGTACTTATCATACTTGGCTTGCATAGGTATTGAAATTGAAGATAGAAGTGAACTTCCAGTTTCCTTTAACAAACCTTGAATTTTAACTAAGTCTCCAAAAACAGTATGAATTGTGGGTGTATTTGAACAACATACCTTCAAAGTAACTTCATAAAAAGGTCTCAAGAAATTAGCAAACACTTCTGCCTTCCCCCAATCATCATCAAATGGAGGCCCTTCCCTTAACTGTTCCTGTTTTTCCCCAATGAAATATCCTAGATAATGACCATCATCGTCTATCAACCTGTCAAAAGCCTTGCGGAATTTCAAAGCAGCCTGCAACATTAAAAATGTAGAATTCCACCTAGTAGGGACATCCATGATCACAAGCCCTTTACTCTCTATTTTCACTTTCTCTACACATTTCTTAAACATACCTAACCTTTGGGGAGAAGATCTTGCATATCTAACAGCATTACGAATGCTCTGAATGCATTTATTCAACAATCCTAATCCATCATTCACAATCAAGTTCAAGATATGAGCCACACATCTCATATGTAAGTTTTTTCCATCATGCAACAGTACATTGTCAACTCTCCAAGAACTTATTCTTTTAATTAAATCTTTCAACCCGACATCATTGGAAGAAGCGTTATCAACCGTAATGGTTAAAATCTTTTCTATGCCCCACTCTACTAAACATTCCTCTAAAAGTTTACCAACAGACTCACCCTTGTGATTTGGAATCACACAAAAATTCAAGATTCTCTTATGCAACATCCAATTACGATCAATAAAATGAGCTGTGAGTACCATGTAATTAATGTTTTGCACGGAGGTCCAAGTATCAGTTGTGAGACACACCCTATATGAACTCAAATCAGTTTTCAGTTTACTCTTTTCTGAATAAAACAGATTAAGCACGTCTCTAGCAATAGTTTTACGGCTAGGAACTTTCCAATGAGGGCATGCAACCCTACAAAAATAGCGAAAGCCTTCTCCTTCTACATGACTAAATGGCAACTCATCTAGAACTACCATTTGAACACACGCCTTTGTGATTTCTTCTTGAGTGCATCCTATAACCACTAAATCTTTTGACTTACCATAAGTCAACACTTTTTGTTTTTTACTCCATTTTTCTTTATTTGGAGGGTACTCAGTACATTTTTCCATATGATTAATCAATGCAGTGGTACCATTTATTTTTGGGTGAGCTGCAAACCCTTTGTGCTTGCAATAATGACAAAATGCTTTAATCTTACCAAGCTCAAATCTCCTTGTGAAATGTCCCCAGATTTCTGCCCGCTCATTTTTTTTCAATGCTTCCAGGTACTCTTCCTCAGTCAATCCACCCAAGTCTATGTCTTCACTTGCATTCCCACTCAAAGATTTCTCAGATCTGACTGAGTCTTGTGCTGGTAATTGAGCATTAGATGATGGTGTTTCATTAACGCTGTCAGTCTGGCCAGCCCCCTTCATAAGAAGCAAAAAATAAAATTAAAGATTGAATTATTACGAATTTTATTTAAAAAAAAACAGAGAAAGACACAAATATGTTGTGTGCATACCTCACATTCAGATGTTGTTCTACTAAACTTATTAGAAGCCGTTGACCCCTTGGAAGTTAAGGAAGATATAGACCTCTTCATGTCTTACTTATCTTTGAGTAAGTGCCTCACTGTATAAAAAGAACATTAAGTCATTAACTTCTTCATACAATTTCACAAAATATTACAGTATTGCAATTTAAGAAAGTGATTAACTCATACTATCCAACATTCACAAAAAATAGATGATTCTGGTACAATGAAAATGATATCAAACCACTAAATATAGAGGATTATAATAATTGGCAATGTTGGGTGTGTTTCGGAAAATAAAGAAAATTAATTAAAATAAATTAATTAATTAAAATGACGAAAGAAAAACAAGAAAAGAGATGGAGCAGAATTTGTCAAAGCTCGTGCTACGCACGATGTCCTTAAAACGTATTTGTTGCCTCCCACGGTGCTAGGAGCGTTGCAACAATAGTTTCCCAGGATACGATGACAACGAACTAGTGTTTGAGCACTCAAACAAAAGTTCCAGCGAACGAGAACAAAGACTGAACACAAAAGGAAATTTTCGGAATGCTAGCAGTGTGTTTTTGAGGTGCAAAACGTGAATGGAGTGTCTAAATTCGTGTAAGAACTTGTGTTGTTGCAAACCACCTGCCAGCCATTATATAGGAGGATTTGTTGTATGAAAATAGTGAATTAATGGACCTGAACGTTGGACATCAATGACCAGTCCGTTGGGCGTTGAATCGTCCATGAACTGTCCATTTAACGCTGCATTAAAAGATATAAACGTTGGGCATTAATTGTTGTAACGTTTCAGAAGCGCGACAGAAGACCTCCATCAGAACTCCCCGGGAGGGGTTCTGATCGGAGGCCAACTCTGATCCGCGGCCATCAGAGTACCCCCAACTCTGATGGGCGGCCATCAGAGTACCCCAACTCTGATGGGTGGCCATCAGAATACCAACGAGAGGGGTTCTGCCATCAGAAGACCATCGAGGTGTTCTGATCCGAGCACTTCTGCCGCTGGGAAAAAATTAAATGTTTCGGGAAGAAAACAAAAATTAATCGTATCTCTTGAGAGATAGATTTTTGGACGACATTCGTGTCCGCAGGTCGCCCGCGCACGCAAGTCGCGGTTTTTCTTCTCCGATTTCGGGATTTGATTTGCACCCCCCCTGCGCGCGTGGAGAGAGCCTTATAAAGGGTTGCAAATCCCTTGGGTTTTCCGGTGTGGGAAATTAACACTAGAAACCCATCCTTTTTCCCAGTTTTTCCATTCTAACGGGTAAACTTCGAAAAGCGATTTCTCATTCACCCGTTATCCGTTTTGAGCGTACCATATATAGAATTGTAGCCCTTAACAAGGACAATCCGAAACCACTTTGACCCGACTCAAATCGGAAGTGGACCCCACTCAAAAAATTGCCCCAAAATAGCCATTTAATGCAATTTTTCACACATTTTTCCAACAATCCCCCACATGAATGAAAATTGATTTTTGAGACTTACAAAAAGACACGAAGATAGGAGGACACGTTGTGTTCACCGGATGATCCTTGTATACGGAGAGGTAGGTTTAATCCTTTGAACCTTCTGCCGTAAAGACTCGTTTATTTACTGGCTGTCTAGTAGACTCGATGTCTTTGAACTATACTGCCGTCGTGTAAACATTGACTTATCTTTACACAAGAACCTTCCAACTTTGTTCCGTTCTCATGGGTGTGCCCGTTTTGGCCATGGGTCACCGTCCTGGTTCTGCAAGAGTTTCTAAAGAACTGAGCCTTTACAGTTCTCCTTTGAAGCGGCCCTCTTCTCTCTCACATAGGTGATTCTTTCACGAGTATCCCGCATACTCTTCCAATGTTATCGAGTAGATCAACATTTTAGAATCATTAAAGCAAACGTTTTTGCTAACCTCGTGCGGGAGTCACTGTTTCAACGAGGAGTGGGTAGGAGTCCGGGACCCCCACAGTGACCATCCTTCGCTCTATAATTTAGTTGTCCCATTTGAACCTAGGACCAACTAGGTTGGGTATCCACTATAGAACTTTTCAATTCACGGGCTTTAATCCCATTCCTCGTGTCAACTTCTCCAACAATTCTCTATCCAATGCCTTGGTTAGCGGATCCGCTATGTTATCCTTTGACTTCACGTAGTCAACGGTGATAACACCCGTTGTGAGAAGTTGTTTAATGGTATTATGTCTACGACGGACGTGTCTAGACTTACCATTATAGAGATTGCTCTGTGCCCTTCCAATTGTCGCTTGACAATCGCAATGTATGCATATAGGAGGGATAGGCTTCTCCCGGATTGGAATATCTTCGAGAAAATGGTGTAGCCATTCAGCCTCTTCAGTGCACTTATCCAAGGCTATTAGCTCAGATTCCATCGTGGATCTAGCTATTAACGTTTGTTTCGAGGATTTCCACGACACGGCTGCACCTCCCAAAGTGAAAACGTATCCACTTGTGGACTTTGAGTCCTTAATGTCAGATATCCAACTAGCGTCGCTATACCCTTCAAGTACAGCTGGATATCGTCCATAGTGCAGTCCAAGGTTTTGGGTTTTCCGTAAATACCTCAAAACCCTTACTATTGCCTTCCAGTGTTCGTCACCGGGGTTGCTAGTATATCTACTAAGCTTACTAACCACAAAGGCAATATCAGGCCTGGTACAACTCATTAGATACATTAAACTGCCAATAATCCTAGCGTATTCTACTTGAGAAATACACTCTCCACGATTTTTGGTCAGGTGTACGTTTTTATCTAATGGCGTCCTTGCCTCTTGATAATCATCCTTATTAAATTTAGTAAGGATTTTATCAACGTAATGAGATTGGCTTAGCGTCAGACCGTCAGGTCCTCTAATTATTTTAATCCCAAGGATTAAATCAGCCAACCCCATATCCTTCATGTCAAATTTAGAATTTAACATGCTTTTGGTAGAATTAATCATTAGATTATTGCTACCCACGATGAGTATATCATCCACGTATAAACATAAAATGACATAGCCGTCTACCGTGCTTTTCACATAGACGCATTTGTCACTTTCGTTTATTTTAAACCCATTAATTAACATTGCATGATCGAACTTTTCGTGCCACTGTTTAGGGGCTTGTTTCAATCCGTACAATGATTTAATTAATTTACAAACCTTCTTCTCTTGGCCAGGAACACGAAAACCCTCGGGTTGTTCCATATAGATTTCTTCGTCTATATCGCCATTTAGAAAAGCGGTTTTACGTCCATTTGATGAACTTCCAAATTCCGCAAAGCGGCAATTGCGAGTATCATCCTAATGGAATTTATTCTCTTCACAGGAAAATAAGTGTCAAAGTAATCATGGCCTTCACGTTGCTTGTATCCCTTGATTACAAGTCTGGCCTTATACTTTTCAATGGAACCGTCAGGTTTCATTTTACGTTTAAAAATCCACTTGGATCCCAAAGGTTTACATCCCGGAGGGAGATCAACCAATTCCCATGTGTGATTTTTTAGGATAGAATCCACCTCACTTTTGATGGCTTCTTTCCACATTGGTCCTTCGGTAGACGTTACGGCTTCCGTATAAGTCCGTGGCTCATTTTCTACCAAACATGTTAGAAAATCCGGTTCATTTTCTACCATACAAGTTAGAATATTCGAATCGAATTCTACCAAGTACGTGAGAAAATCCGGTCCGAAGGATTTTTCAACTCTAGCACGTTTGCTACGTCGGGGTTCGGCTTCTTCACCGGATCCCTCGCTGGTATTTTCCATAGCTACGTCAAATCTTTGTTTTGACGTGCTAGGTCCATCGTTGGACTTGCATGGAAATACGTCTTCAAAGAATGATGCATTCCTTGACTCAACTATTGTGTTTTTATGTACATCCGGATTATTCGAATCGTACACTAAAAACCGATAAGCACTACTATTTTGTGCATATCCAATAAAAATACAGTCCACCGTTTTTGGACCTATTTTTATTTTCTTAGGTGTTGGTACAAGCACCTTAGCAAGACACCCCCACACTTTTAAATATTGATAGGAAGGCCGTCTGCCTTTCCACAACTCGTATGGAGTTTTATCATATTTTTTCCGGGGAACCTTATTTACAAGGTAATTGCTTGTCAAGATCGCTTCGCCCCACATATTTTGTGGCAGGCCCGAACTTACTAGCATCGCATTCATCATATCTTTCAATGTGCGATTCTTTCGTTCGGCAACACCATTTGATTGAGGTGAATAGGGTGCGGTACGTTCGTGTACTATACCCACACTAGCGCAAAAGTCACCAATTGGTGCTTCATACTCACCACCTCGATCACTTCTAACCGTTTTAATCCGTCGATTAAGTTGGTTTTCCACTTCATTCTTATAAAGAATGAATTTATCGATTGCTTCGTGTTTATTTTTCAACAAATAAACATAGCTATAGCGAGTGCTATCATCGATAAAAGTAATAAAATATTTATTACCGCCACGTGTTTGTATTGATTTAAAATCACAAACGTCACTATGAATTAATTCTAGTGGTTCCGTTTTTCTTTCAACCGATTTGAAAGACGTTTTCGTTAGTTTTGCCTCAACACAAACATCACATTTGTGCTTCACATCAATTGTGAATTTAGGAATGTGTTCCATGTTAATTAATCTACGTATAGAATTAAAATTAACATGTCCTAGTCTACCATGCCACACATTGGAAGACTCAAGCAAGTAAGCAGAAGAGACTTTATTATTATTAATAATAATAGTCGTTACATTGAGCTTAAACAGCCCGTCACATGCATATCCCTTGCCCACATACATTCCCGACTTGGACAAAACTAATTTGTCCGACTCAAAAACCATGCGGAAGCCATGTTTGTTCAACAACGAACCGGAAATCAGGTTTTTGCGTATTTCCGGGACGAACAAAACTTGGTTAAGAGTCAGCTCCTTGCCCGAACAATTGGGAGTTTCCCATCGTTCTTCCGATTATCCTCTTCAATCCGCAGACGGAGGATCAATTGTTCCAAGTTCATTTCCTTTCGCTTATGCTTAAGGTAGTTCTTGAAATCCTTCCAAGCCGGCGGCAATAAATGAATAATTGACGCCACTTGGAACGACTCACTAACTGTCATTCCTTCATCTCGAATTTCGTTGAAGATCATTTGCATCTCCTCAACTTGACTCAAGACCGTCTTCGAATCCACCATTTTAAAATCAAGGAATCGACCAACAACAAATTTCTTTGCGCCGGCATCCTCGCTTTTATATTTGTGGTCCAAAGCATTCCATAG